CCATCAAGGTAACGGCGTCCTCAAAACCGGCAGCAACTGCTCCGCCAGCAGCTGGAGTGCCGCCCATAACAGCGAACGGGACGCGACCGGATGTACCAAATCCCACCTGTGCTTCCAATCATCACATTGACACCTGAAGCGCCCGCACACAACTCCCAGCTGCAATGCACGGTCCCTTTTTTTCTACCGAGAATCTTTTTTTTTATACTGACGCTCGTGCTGACAATCAAGCCTTACTCTATTTGCCTATCATTCCAACAGGTATGAGGTGTGGGAAAGAAAGACATCTATGTATGCAAGCCAGTTAGTTGCGCAAGCCTAACCTGACCAACTAACGCCTTTCATTGGTTTTGTTAACCAAATGTTTTGTGCGTTAACTTATTTCGAACGGTGCTGGCAGGACCAGGGGTGCGGAAACAGACTAGATCTCCCCCCCATAAAGATAGGGCCTATCTAAACATTTTCTGTCTTTTTAGGGGAATAAACACGGAGGGGCATCGTGGGCGGTTGGCAGTCTGTACTCTCAACCTTTTCAAGCCCTAACCTCACCCCAACCCACACACACTAATCGCCTTCTGTTCGTCTGTCTCAGTCTCTCAACTGTCCAGCACTTCATGTGTTCACCTAGGCATTTCTCCTGTGGCTTCGAGCTTCTTTGCTTTACCGCAAGTTGTGTGTGAGGCTTCATTCACCTCCCCCCCACCTCCTAAAACTTACCCCACAGAATTCTACCCCTTCTCTTTTACCAACGCGCAACTGTGATATTGTGTTCGTGAGTTGTTTTGCGTCACAAATGCAGAGACCACACCTCGTTATTTTGAAGTCATTGGTCGGCTGCTCGGTCTCGGTGTTGTGCTGGTGGCTTTCTTGGTCTGACGCTACTAACGTTGCTGTTGCCATTGCCTTATTTATTCCCCCCACCCCCCGGCGATTGCCTACATTCCTGCATCGGTTTCCAGCCTCGCACCAATTGCAGTAGCTTTTGTGTTTTGTTTGGTCCATCATTGATTACAACTCTCCTCCATCCTAACATATTTTGTCTTGTTAGTGGGTGGGAACGCTCCTGCTTAAAATTCGCCTAGTACTTGAAAGGAGGTAGTGGAAGCGTCAATCAGAGGTGGAGCTTTTTGGCAATTACTTTGACGGTCAAGTGGCGAGGAGTGTAAAGTCGAGCTTCCGCCAGCGTGACATTGCTTCCGCCCTGAAGATGTGGAACAGAGTAGCGGTCCGAGATTGTGAAGCTATTTTAACCTCCTGTTGTCACCACAGGGACGGCAGTACCGGCGGTGGCCTTTGGGAGCATGTGGACATGGGAGGTCAGTGGGCTTTCAGATTGACGAACGAGGGCCATCTAAAGCATATGCTCGAACTCGGCCTTGGCAGCAGTAAGTCGTGCTGGGGCCAGATGGCGAGGACGAGAAAACACAGGGGGCCAGTGGTCCGGATGTGATGCAGAAACACTGAAGGCGGAACGAGTGAAACCAAGCTATCTCGCAAGAAGTAGGCTTTGGCAATAACTGATACAAGTAAGACATATAAGCTTAATGTTTCCAGCTAAAATCTTTTTTTCTCTGCAAACGTCAACGTTACTGCTGTCGTTCGAAAACTTTCTTAAATAGTAGTCGTATCGCTGGTTAAGAAGATGACAAAACCGTATAGTCTAGAAATAATATTATGTCTGCAGAGTGACGAGTGAGAACCCCACCATCTAGTGGTTACTGCGAAGGGTCTACATGAGCTTTAATAAAGAAACCGCTTGGCATATAATCTGAATCAGGAACACAAAGCCAAACCCATTGTAGTATGATTTGAAATCGAGAAACTGGTGTTAAAGGAAATCGCATTCGAGGAAATGGAGTCCTGAGACACCCAATGGGTCTGTCATTATAGCCGTCTAACAGTATGCTAACAATAGTGGTGCGAAGAAGATGTTCAAATGCGTCAGATGTTACACAATTAATACAATCCATATGACAATGTCTTATCAGGAAGTTCCCTTAGGAAGACCGAAGCACCATTAGATGCATCAACAGGGGATTTACATAATTTGTGGGTTGGCTAGTCCGTAAATCTTCCCCTGGCAATGACCAACAAAACAGTGCATTGCGTAACTATTGGGCTCACGTGACTGAATGACGTCAGATCGAAGACATAAAGTTAAAAAAGGCGGACGTCCTAAATCAGTCAACCAAAAAATAAGAGGAGTAGATTTGTTAGTTGGAGGCAGTTTGGCGACTAGAATTCTTTCAAAAGCACTCGATTCTCACGAGGTGCTCCAGGCTTTTTCACTTCAAAAAAAGGTGGAGCGTGGATAGGCAGGGTTGGCAACCCGGCAGGACAAAGTAATAGGAATCAATCGTAATAGTGGAAACTTTGCGTTAAATTGCAGAAAATTAAGGTGAGGGTTAAGCTTAAGGCTAGGGTTACGGTCGCGGCTTAGCGTAGGGTTATTGTTGGCGTAAGGACAGAAATATTTCGTGCAGGATTACCTGTATCTATTCGATGTTCCGTTTTGTGGGTTATTTAAGCGGTTAATATCCCTACATCTTTAGAAACCGACTATAAGCCTTATATTATGGGGTTAGAAATTTCACTAACCACTTTCGCATCTTTTTTTAATAATCGGTTGATTAAGGGAACTATTTTAAACTGCTTTATGATAAGTACGACCTTTGCTCACGCAGCTTTTTAAGGGGAAACGTATACAGTTAGAAAGGCGTTTTTAAGTAGAGGATAGTTATAGCATTGAAACTAGACTCAACTAACCCGCCAAATACGTTCACGTAACTGAAGAGATATTGTAGCCGGGGCGATTTCCGGGCGAGTACTTCGAGTCTATCCCCAGGAATGCCATTAACTTGCAATATTGACAAAACCTATTTCAAGTGCATAAGAGCAATCACACTGACATTCAGCAACGACAGAAGAGATTAGGCAGGACAGGGTTTTTAACAGGTATGACATTAACTGTCTTTTACACCTTCTACTAAATCCCAGAAGTATCTGCCGCAAATTAGGCCCTACATTTGTCCCGCACTTTCTTGTGTAGTTTTCAGGTTAGTATTTGATTCGTATACATCCCTTATATTACTAGTCTGTAGTTTTTAGTTGATAACAAATCGAAGCCGCACTAAGACCATAGGTCATCATCTAGTTTTATTACCCCGGTTCAGCGGGTAGTGTTCTGTGGCAGGCGCGCTATTCATCAGAACGATGGCGGGCAGTAAACATTTATGGAGTATTTAAAACTTTCGTATAAAGGTGTGCTGAAACTGAACGTTGTAAATTTGGGAAGGTTTTTGATGTTTGTGCCATTTGCGAACATGTCATCTGATCCGGAAAAGCTGAACCCATTTGTTAGTTAGCAGGATATTTGAAAGTGGCCAAACCTCATTAACAGGCAGGTTGGCATGCAATCCATGTGATAGTTCTTCAGGGTTGGAAGCTGTTAGGCAATAGAAAACGAGAAAAGACGTATTCTGGTTTGTATTAGGCTATAAGAAACCGTCTTTTCGAACAGTTGTGCCAAAACGACTGTACATATCTATGCTGGGTATTATGTACACAATCGCCTTCTTTTGCACGTTCACTGCTATCAGTCTGAGGATCCGGATGAGTAAGGAAATTTAATTGA